ATCCAACCCATCTGTGTAGTATGAAAATAGTTATATTTGTTACGATGTGGAAAGTAAACCTCATCCCAATGCAAAAGTCTGTTGTCTTTTAAGCTGGTAGGACTACCAAAATTATTGGGATTGCACTGGTATAACAGAGAAAAGAATTGCATCCTTTCTGGTAAATCAATCGGAAAATAACACCAGCTAGGTACAAAGCTACATTGGCCATTTTTCCCTTGCTGACACCTCACAGGAATCCCCAAGTGTTTGCTGTAAACTAAACAGTGTTTCAGTATCACACACTAGTCTTTATAAACGACTTCCATTTCTCACCAATTACTTCCCCTTTCATAACATTGTTTTTTTTAATTTCCTCTATTTTTTCCCTCTTAATCTTTATTAATGTAATGGGGTTTAGACAGAAACATTATTTGTGTTTGTACATATTGAAAATGTCTCTGCTGCACTGTGAAACACAGCTGAGAGAAACCTTAATTTGATAAGAATTATTGTTTTGCAAAACGAGTACTGTTACATTAGCTGAGCACTGTATTTAAATGGCTTTTTCTTACAATAGGTCTCACTTGGACTATTTGGATAGTTCAGTACTGTACATGGTAAGGTAGAATTGTACTAATAAAATCAAGCTGCACGTACATTTCATCTGCCATTTGGTACTTTCAGTGCTTCATAATTAACTTTGGTCAAAAATTACCACTTCAAGACCGAGGGATTAATTCTCCCTTAACAATATTTGTGCATATACAGGAAAAACAGTTATCCCTTGGCTTCCTGGCCTTGGATGAGTGGTTTACTGCATTTTTAACCTACAATAATTGTGGATGAATTCCGGGTGTGTGCTTGCCCCTCATGGAGTGAATTTCATGCTGTCTGATTTCTTTTTATTTAACTCTGGGAACAGAAATGCCCTAAACCAGGTTTTCATGCTCTGGGTGCCCTTGCCCAGCATGATCTGGACGTTGAGGAGGTGCCTACACTAGCTCTGAGCCCAGGGACAGGGATGGATGCTATAACACAGCATCCACCTGGCATACACCTGCCCAGCTTCCAGCATTTAGCAGTTTAACAACATCCTCCTATATTCTTATATTGGATCACCCACTTCTTAATCCCCTCCTCTCAAATTATTTCACTTCTTCCTTACTCATTGGCTCGTCTAGCCCTTATCCCTCACCTTGGAAGAGTGCTGATCTTGTGTTTGTTGGACAGCTTCTGTTAGCCGCCTTGGCATATATTTGCCTTTTGGAAGAAGATAAATAGAGAAAAGCAGGTGATTCCTGCCAGTGTCAAGGAGAGGCTCTCAAGATAGGCTCCTGACAAGTTACTTGGGTGCTGCTAAAATAATCCAGTGAGAAAAGGTCATCTTGAATTCAACTTTCACACATAGGCAATCACATTACCATATGTCAAAGACACCAACCTTCATTAGGAAGAATCACTGTGGAGGAGTACAAGTATTTCAATGTCCAAACAAAATCTCCCAAGCCCTCCCCCTAAACTATTTTGGGATGATACTGAATGACAGTGTTAAAAATTTCAAGAATCTGAAAATAACTTGAATTTGTGTGCTTTCATTTTTACTGATTTTGACCAATTTAGAACCCAATGACCAACTACCAAAATTTTCAAGAGTCTAAAATTATATAAGTAAAAACATGGAAATGTTCACAGAAGTATATAAAATAGTTTTTCAACCATCTTTAGTTCTTAGGTGATTATTAAAGAATATTCTAGATCCCAAACAGGAAACACGAACCATTAATAACACCCTGCACTAAAGACATTATGAACTCTGTCATTCCTACTAGCACTGATACTGCACAGGATTGGTTTAGGACATGAATGTGTCCTGTGCTGTGCAGCATGGGAGAGTACCTCCTAAGAAGACTCAGCAGCAAAGTCCAGACCTGGCTCAAACAAACACCGAAACAATTCTTGCAGCTTTGTGATGGGCTTAGCATGTAAGGAAAAAGCTACACACATATCGCCACCTGAATTTTCTCCATCTAAAGCAGTGCAGACAAAAGTGTTTTAAAAAGGACACTCAGAAAAGAGGACCACACCTTGTCTGATCTTCAGGACAGTAACCACCTCGTAGAGTAGCTGGTTACTAATAAATTAATTAGGCTATATGAACCGAACACCGTTTATCAGCTAAATGGGGACAGAGATTCTGTTAAGAACATGTGTGCTGTCGCTTGGAGCGTGTCAGTCTTTGTGACACATGGACATGACTGAAGGCCTTTGGGAGATGGGGGGAAAAAGAAGGAAAGAAACAGAGATGACTGGCATGATAGCTGTCTTGCAGGGGAAATCAGTCTTTCTTTTAGGGAGGGGAGGAAGGGAAAGAAGACATACAGATGGTCTGACTCCCTGTGGTGACAGGAGCAGTTGGTCTCCTCTCTTTCTGATAGTGACAGTCGCTGTCACCTTATTTTGAAGTCTCCCAATGAAAAAGTGGGAGTCAGTATGGTACTGAAAAGAGCAAATGGATAAATCATGTAACTAATCGTAACCATTTGGTCTAGGAAGAGTGATGGAGGTTGGTGGTGCCTGTTGACAGCCTGCAATAGCTGAATGCGCACTTTCCCCTCCCTGAGAACTTCAGCCTAAGGAGGAAAGAAAGTTTGCGCTATTTATTACAGAAAAAGGTCTTTTAGAGTCAAGCCAGCTACTGAGTGCGTGTTTACAATGCTGCTTTCCTAGCAATGAATGACAGCTCGGGACCCACAGGCTGCCATCTCATTCAGTCCCATTTCACTGCAGAATGCTTTTAAATAGGCCAAAAGGACACCTTATGCACACACTTTGCTATCAAAATAGGAAAGTACCAAAAAATGTCCCCCCAGAGTATGATTATTTTCTCTATTAACTCTGTATTGCACCCAAAAGGCACTATTTTACCTAAGAAGCAGCCAGTGCTCCAACATGTAGAGAGAGAGATGGATGGTTCTTGGTTTGGGAAAGTATAGAGCATTTGCTCTTGGGAAACCTTGCTTCCTCTACACAGTGCTACCATTGGCTCTTTTCTTCTCAGGGTGGTGGATAAAACATTTATTTTTGCCAGGATAAAATTTTCAGAAGCACACAAATTGTTTTAGGACCCTGTGGGACATTTTTTTTTGAAAGTAAATCCTATTCAATGATTTTCCCTTAAAAAAAAAAAAAAAAAAAGAAGAAGAAAAAAAACCCCACCAGCTTTTTTACAGGATTTTTTTCACCCAGTCCGCTAATTTCAAAGGAAGTCAGTTATCTAACAGATCTCTACATAGAACAAGTGAAATAACAACATGAATTTAAAGCAGATCAAATATATTGACCTAATCCCTTGCATGGAAACTGCCAATAATGCATTTCCATTTCATTTAGGTTAATTCTCTTTGGAACAGAAGCATACTCAATCAGATTAAGGCCATTTTAATTCACGTGTCCCCTCTAATATGACACCCTACACTTATTTGGATTAAATTCCCCTCCCATGTTTAGAAAAGTCCTAACTAACCATAAACTTGGACCTAAACCTTGCATCTCTTTTGCACTACTGAAAATGGGACCTGTTTTTTTGTTATTTAGATCCTATTGGATATTTTAACCATAATATTGATTCTTTTTTTTTTTTTTTTTTTTTCCTGAAAATGTCAGTAAACATAAACTGTGCCAGAAAGCGTTTGTCACCTGAACCTCACCTGCAAATCCACCCACCACTGAATGCTTTATTTGCTTGCTCTGCCTGGAGAAACGGAGGGTACGTGTGCCACCATGGCACTCTGCCCTCCTGGGGCTCCTTCCACCATGGCAGACCCCGGAGCTGCCCTGGCAGCTGCACATCAGGCTGAGCAAAGACCATGTTTCCTCTTTTTATAAAGGAAGTATACCAAGATTGGGAAAACCACAAGGCATGGTGAAAGTCACTGCATGGAGAAAGAGAACAAACTTTCATAACAAACTGCATCATACCACCACTGCACTTGTCTGACATATGATCCCCATAGTGCAAAATGGGAACAATTATAGTGTTTCCTGAGAGAAACTGAAAGTTAGAGATAGACCCAAGGGAAGGCAACCAAGGTATTTTTTATCTTTCACAGGGATCTAGCTGGGCCATAACTATCCCTGGTATCAGAGCAGAGAGAGTTAATGAGAGGTCCTCTCCCATCTTGGTGCGTCTGCAGTGAATCTGCAGCACTCGTGCACAACTTTAGCTGTCTAGAACTAAGGACAAGAGATCCTTCTGTAGATTTTTTTCACCTTCTCACTCTCTCTTTTTCTAACAAAGGGCATTAGAGCACTGATGGCAAACCCCTACAGCCTTCTTGGCCAGAAGATACCAGGAGATTCAGTCAATAATTTATTAGGCTATTTGATTAGTCTCTTTTCAGAAACTAGTCATCCAAACTAATCTGTAGTGCTACACCTGTTTTTTTTTCTTTTCTTTTTTTTTTTTTTTTTTTTTTTTTTTTAAATAAATTATAATGCCCAGCGTTAGCTTGAGAGCAAAGCTGGTTCCCAGGAGCTGTGCTGTTTATTCCCTCCTGATATATTGCTGTCATCAAGCAACATCTCTGCAAGTGTCAGCAGTTACATGCATGGAGAGCTAGACCCTGTGTAGGCCAGGGAGGGTCTGCATTTCTGAAAGACAGATAATGCTGGTGAGCATTATCCTTTTGCCTGCTGCTACTCCCTGTGATTCAGTATGTATTCCACTGCTGCCCTGCACAACCAGGAAGATTTCTCTATTTTTTTTCAAGTGCTGGGCCCAGGGTATGCAGAGCATGTTACAGAGGAGAAATGATGCTCTCATAACCCGTGTTTGCCTTTAGCTCAGTCATATCACATGTAAACATGGCAGGTCCCTTCTCTTCCATGGCATCCTCTCGGTGATGCCTTCCAAAGTGAATCCCCAAGCTCTTATGTAAAAGCAGAAAAGATGCCCAGCAGTATGCACAACTCCAACAAGGCGCCACTGAGTTACCGTTAAACCATATTCCAAAGTTTACCTTAGTTCCTTGAAGGGGTCTGCCCTGACATTGGGAGTTTCTATAGATTTAGGGAACACTGTGCCTTCTGCTCCTGAAATCACAAAACAAAACAGAAGACAAATTGTAAACATCATAAGCTGTTATCAGGGGAGTGATTGTCAAATCATATCTAGGTGCAATTTAACCCATTGCCTGACCCCATTTCTCTCTTGCACACATCCCTTCTGTCCCCAGGAAAAGCCAGATCTTGATCATCTGAAATGGTTGCCTTGATTACAACTGGGATTTGCCTGTAAACCACACTTCTGGCTGTAAAAGCAGCTGCTCGCACCCTAACTGTGGGACGTGTTTGCTAACCCAACTGACGCAGAGAGCTCGGAAAAGATACCCCCTTGGTAACCAGGCATCTAATCCAGCTACATCCCTCATTAATGAACCTGGATGCATGTCATGACATTACTTCTTTTGCTGGGCTCTGAGAGATGCTTAAAGGAGAATGCCAAATTTTGGCTCAATCACTGCAAATGTCTCTCCAGTCAGGCTGTGCTGCTGCCTGAGGAAAAGGAGGGAGGTGCCCACCTGATGAAATGCTGAAAAAACAGGCAGTAGACTGATCTAGTCCCAGCCTGGCCACCGGTTCAATATGTGACCCAGAAGTAATATAACTTCTGCTCAATTCCCCCTTCTCTTAGAGACAGTGGCTCAAACCACAATAGGAAGGCAGCACTATCCCCATTTGCTGTCTGTTTTTAGACCACAAGCTCTAAACCAATAGGTAATATGAACAGCTTTCCTAAGTTTCAGGCCATTGCAATCCTCTTCCATAGCCACCTGAATACCCCAGGTTGGGCCATTTCACCCACCCATCCCTGCACTGGGTTTCTATTTTATGACTGAGCTATGCTATGTCTCTCTAGGAAGATGTGCTCTCCCCATATAATTGTTTTAAGCTTAAGGAAGCCCATGCCATCCTCTGGTAAGCCCTTCCAGTAATTGTTCTAATTCAAAAATGTGCATCTAATCTGAATTAGTCTCACTTCAGCTTTCAGCCACTAAATCTTCTCGTGTCCTTGAATGCCAGCCAATAGGCCCTGCATGAGCAGACTCTCCACCTTCTGTGACCCAACTACCCCAGCCTTCTCTGGTTCAGGTTACAGCTTTCTGAATCATTCACTGTGAATTAGATTTACTGGACTTCTCATTGCTCTGTTCTGAACCCATTCCACTTTTAAAATACTCTGTTGGGACACAGGAGTCCCCAAGCGCTGTGACTGACCCTCTGTGCTGCAGAATGTTATGTCGTCACTCTCACTGAAACTTCCATTTAAAACACAGCTAAGAATAGTACTGTCTTACCCACAGCAATGCACTAGAAATAAAAAATATTCTGAGATGATGCAAAACATGTTAATACAACATCCTTCTGTAACTTCTGCTATAAGTGAGAAACACCTGTGGCTTCAGTAAGATTACACTTTCTTTGCACTGAAATAAATTAACTAATCTGTCCCACTATGTTAAAGAAAAAAAATTAGAATGAAAATAAGCACTCTAACATTTATAAAAAAGAAACCAACTCCTTTTTAACCTAGAGAAAAACAAAGTAATCTCAAAGATGATAAAAGCAGTCTAAAGTTTGAAGCTTTATACTTGGGAATTGAAATTGATCCTATGGCACAATACAGATATTTAGCTCTTAACTTTACTATAAACCTTCATCGTTACAGGCTGTCAAAAGCAGCTGTAACTTGCCAGCCATGAAGGTTATTATTATCAGATCTGTCCTCTCTCAACAGTTTCCAAATGATTTAAGTCTCTGCTTATCCACACAATTGCCTTGGCTATTAGCTTTGCAATGAAACTTAGCAAAAGATGCAGCCTGCACATATCTGCATAATAAACCAATGATTTTCTGATGGGAGGAAGATGAAGAAGTGCAGCTGGAGAGGTGCATATACATATTCTTGTACTCTTTCCACTTGTATTACTTAAATAGTGTCTTTCTGCTGTTAATTTTAATTAATTTTTACATACTTTAAGTCAGCTACTTAAGTTATGCAAAGCCCCAAATAATGATCTGCATCTAACCAGAAATGCATGCAGAATAAGGCAAAACTTTAGCATATTTCTAATGATTTGGGTTTTTTCCATGCTTTCATTATTTATTTTAAAAGCTGGAAGCAACTTTGGAAAGAATGCCAGTGACGACTCCAACGCAGTCATTTCAGGAAGGCTGAAAACAAAAGAAGTTTGTTATTCCTTTCCTCCATCTTGTTTTCCTTTCCCTACACACAGTTCTTTAACCCTCTTTTCCGGTCATATTTATTTCCAGATCCATGGAAGGGTCTCTTATGCACTGGGAACAGGAATGAGATCTCCAAATCCTTCTGTTTCTCTCCTTTGATATGAATTAGGAGTAAACACTACCTGCCTTGATGACGCTTCCTGCCTTGACAATATCATTTCTTATTATTCTGTTTTAAGAACACAAGATCTCCCAAAGGGCCACCTGTCCCTGTCACCGAGCAGGACATCAGCCATGAGGGGATGCTGAGGGACCAGGACTGAGACACCCTTCCCTTGACTCTGCCTGTCAGCAGCTGAGGGACTGTTTGAGCTGGCCGTGTCATCCAGCAACTGGAGAGACACTGATAAGCTTTCCTCACCTCACCTAATTATCATTTTAAGTGTCCCCATTTCTGTAGCAAGGGACTCACAGATGAATTAAATACTCTGGAGAAGTTCTTCTCTTGGCTTCAACCTGCTGCCTGATGATTTCACTGGATCCTTGTTCTGCCTTGGACTGTGAAAAACTGTAAACAACCATCCTCTTCTTTTCATACTATTGGAAATTTTATAAACCTCAAACGTGCTCACTCCCACCAGCCCACTCTCTTCTATGCTGAAGAGTCTCCATCTCTGCCTGTAGGATCCATGGCTCCTGCAGTGCCTGCCGATGGAAACATCTGCCTTGGAGAGATTCAGCTACGCTGGACATTTGTGTCAGAGTCTGGATCTTGGCCACTACAGAAGTCCCTAGCCAGGCTGTGATAGCATCAGTGTTGGATGGCGTTGAAAGTGAAGGCATTAGGCTGGAGGAAGTGACCTCATGTAGTAGTTTTACTGAAAGTTTTGGCAAAAAAACAAAAGAAAGTTTCAGGAAATGTGCTGTTGACACTGAATTGGGCTCTTCTGGCTCTGCAGAGAACTGGAGTGTCATGGAGAAACAAATGTTTGACCTCAAAAAGGAGAAGAGGAGAGAGGGAGAAATTTAAAAATATGAAGTCCAAGGTCATGTGGTTAGAAAGTAGCAAACAATTTCCTCTCCATGTTGGATGCTTCCAGGATGGGAACTTTCCTGGATAAAGGCTGAGTGCTACTCATGATTCATGGCAGCAAGACAGGGCCAAAGGGAAGGCAAACATGACATTAAACTGAAAGGCAAGAGGCAAGTCTAACAGGAACATGAAAAACATCACATTATTTTAAGGATCATCAGTGAAACCTTGAACTATTATGCAGCCCCCAGCTCATTCCCAGTGAGGAAAGTGTACAGAGGGGAAATACTGTCATGACTGCATGAACAGAAAAAAGTTTGTCCTACAAAAGAAGACTGGAAGGACTTGTCTTTTTAGCTTAGCAGTATGATGGCTAAGGAAGGATATAACTGTTGTGTATAAATACATTAGGAGGATAAATAACATGAAGGAAAAAGAACTACTGGCTCTAGGCCAACGTCAGCATAAGAGCAAGCAGCAGTAAACTGGTCCCAAATAATTTGTGAATAAAAGTAAGTGTTTTCTAGCCAAAAGAGGAGCATCTTTTCAGTTAGATGGTACAGAATCTAACAGATTTGACAAATTCATGACTATAAGATGCGGTGTCTCAAACCGGGGGACAAGATTTGCAGGACCAGAAAGTGCCTTCTATTCTTGCACGCCTCTAGTCTTATTTTCACTGTCCTCTACCTGAGGAATAATGGGTTTTGACAAATGGTATTAATGCACAGCTCTAACAGTTCAAGACTTAGCTGCTACAATCTCCCATCTCAATCAAATCTACTATATATCTCTTCTCCCTTTACTGAGTATAAAGCAAATTTTTAAAAAAATATTATGGTACAACACAGCTTACACTTCCTGAATTATCTGTTATTCAAACATTTCCTATCTACCATGAAAAATGCATAATATAAAATTGCTATTTCATTGCAAAGTACTGAACATATTTTTCTTCATCTTATGATAACTCTCTGCTAATGCTAAGGATAACTTACCTGCAAACAGCTGAAGACAGTTAGGAGAAAACAATTGTATCATTTGTATTTAAACATACTATACTGTACATCCCTAGGCAATAAATTATTCTTTGTCACAGTATTATATCAGAGCAACTTCTATGAAAAGCCATACCTACTGATTTCCTTTACTGACACTGTGTAATTTACCACCGATAAATGTTCATAAACAGTTTGACTGAAAAATCCATAAAGCCATTTCAGCTTTATTTTAAGTTCCATTTAATGTCCCTCAAAAATGATTTCATCAATGTGTTTCCATTAGCTGGTTCTGTGCCCAATAACTTAATTCCACACAATCAGTCAGGAACTTATAAAGCATATGACAGGATCTACCTAAAGTGTTTTGAATCACCATAAAGATTCACTATAAGAATGTTTTTGTGTTTTTTTTTTTTTCCCCTTCTAGTGCAGAAGGTGCGGGGGCACGAATTTCAAAGACCCTGTGTATGTTCACTTCATGTAAGAATAGAAATCAATAGTCTTTTGGCAAGGGAACATTTATGGTTCAATTTCAGGGTTTAGGGATTTTTTTGTGTGTTTCTTTCTTTCTTTTCTTTCATCTGAGACTCAGAAGGAAGACTGCATGAGAACAGTTCTGAAGACTGCATGAGGACAGTTCTGCCAAATAAGAGTTTGCATTTTCTCTGGTGCTAGTAGTTTCTTTGATGCCTACTACCACATCCAGGAGATGAGCCTGGTTGCGGTTTGGGCCACTGCAAATGAGTTGCTGGAGCAACATCCAGCTTCTGGTCCTCTCCTCACCTCCCTTTTCCCATTCTGCACCCACCATA